GCAAGTATCACAGTAGAGACAACATTAAAATTATTGTATGGAAGATTTTCCCGTTTCATGTTTGAAATATCAGGCACCTCCCATCATCCAGCAAGCAGAAATAAAGAAATCAGGATGTGAAAAAATAGTTCATTTTGTGCTTCATTCACGAATGAAAAGACTTCTGCAACAATCGTATATTTATATGTATGATGTATAAATATACAACTTCATAGTTTATATTTTATAGACATTACATGTTACACTAACTTACAAAATAAAACAAATAAACGAAATGCCATTTTGGCCCTCTATCAAAAAGGTCATTTTCATGTTAATATTTCCTTCACTTTCATCCTTTTTTCTTGTCTTGCAGAACCAGGCATCCGCAACCTTTATTCGTCTACAACTATTGTTCTTCAGAAGTAAAATCAGGCTCAGCAGGCTTCTGCAGCAGTATGGGTGATATTCTTTCTGGCACCCTGGTCTTTCTTGTGCTATTTCTACGTAAAAGTCTGAGTGCATTAGCTGCAAACCTTGAAGCATATATTGTGGCACCTAGACTAGGTGAGCTACCACCTGCTTTGGCTAATGCACCTTGCAAACGATTCTCTTCTTCTCTCAGAGACTCTTCCAGCTTCTTTTTACTATAACGCCTCATCAACAGGATCTCGTCAACAGGATCTCCTTCCCGGACAATGCAGCTTTCTTCTGTGTATAGCACTGGCTGGAGTTTGTCACACATTGCATCCAGAAGTTGCTCATCCATTTTCTCAAACATTGGCACCTTCAGTTCATGCAAAAGAAAGATTTAGTTGTTGCTAAAATATTACATGGAAAATCAACTACATCTTCAAAGCTTCCAATAATAAATGATGTTGATTTACTTTTCAAGGATTGTCTTAAAATCCATCCGATCGCCCCTCTTGATATACCTAAATATTTTGAATTACCAAGGGTTATTGACAAAACAGTTTCTCTGGAAAAAGGCCAGACCAACATGCATCAATGACAAGGCTATAACAATGACTAGTCAGAGTGGTAAGCTGCTGTACATATAACTGAATCTGAATATGTGAATAGCCTTTCAAAAATCTTGAGATTGGATCGACACTATGCATGATTATATGGAAAGTTTAGATCATGATTTTCAGAATCACAAGTTAAATGTTTTGGAATATCTAACATAGTGAAATGCCTATTTTACAGGTTAGACTTCCTCCAATAGAAAACAAAATAAAGAAAAAGGTGTTGGATAATTCTTACTCCCTTTATTGATGAAAAATATCTCATACATATAGTAGTTTCCATACACGTCACAAAACAGAGAAACACATCTATGAGAGATTCTAACAACCTGAAGAAATACCACTCTGCCCTTAGCTCTATAATTAGACTTTTAACATTTACTTCATTCATTCTGCCTTTAACAGTGCACTCATTAAAATGTTTAAGCTTGGTGCTGTTACAGTTGGGCTGTTTCACTATCATAATCTTCTGCAGAACTTTTCAAATCATAAAAACAAGCATGCATGCATATATGCATATATGGAGTGCAGCATGAGATTGGGAGATAATGGTGACGATGGACTAGGTTGTCAAGCATGAAGCAATAGACATGTTCCCTGTCGGTTCAACACTTCTACTGCAAGTGGTTCCAGCCATTAAGTTCTCAGGAAGATGAAAGATGTTGTAGTTTTGGCATCCAACTTATACCTGTCGGTGCTATATTATACCATTTATATTTTGAACTCGCTAAAAAATCAATCTAAACGAAATTGAAGGAGGAAATTCAGTATATAAATAGTTGTCAGATTTATTACGATGGAGAAATTTGAAAACGAAAGCTTAGTCATGTATCTTCCTCAACTCCTATACTACCCATAACCATCACTACTGTACTCTTCTCAAACCTTTAAAATCTGAGTTCCATTAAAAGTAATGTCGTATGCTTATCTGATGGATACAAATCGATTTGTACTTCAAACTGTTTTGTTGACTTGTCTGTTTTATAAAATTATGTATTATATAATAAAAATCATTGATATGTAATTATCGTATGCCTATATAATTTCTTTTAATATTAATTTATTTGTGAAAAATATATAATTATTGAAATATGATATGTCAAATTGGGATGTCATATATGTTTATAATGCTGTTTTTTAGAATGATATGGGGAATTACCCTTAATTCGATTCAAATCTTGGGAAATATTGTTGTAATTTCTCAAGCGGTATGGCAGGTCTTTATAGTATTGATTCATGAAATGGCAGCATGCATATTGTACCAGGAAGTTTTATAGATAATGTCTGAAATACATTATTCAGCAACAAGAACTGCAGATGTCACCAAGTGAATTGATTCTGACTGTTTTATTTTCATTGTGCCTGATTTCCTCATTTATTTAGTGTTAAAAGAGCACATAATTTTATCACATATATTTCTCATGTTCAGAGGGGAAATAATATAAATGCAGCCCTACTATTCTTCATCTGCAAGGAAACCGGCGCAATTATTTGGTACATGTCAAGCTCCAGTTGAACAACATTTTTCAGAAACAATTTCAGGATCAACAACAACCATAAAATGTTTTGAGCAAGAACCAAGATTTAATGACATGAATATGAAATTGATAAACAGATATTCCCAACCTTAATTAAAAATAATTATTTTTGTACCATATGATAATTAATCTTTCCGAATTCAGTTTTAACTCTAGAAGATTCCAATCACTTTATTTATTCTTATAGTTACTATTATTTGTATCCCAATTATTTGGTCTATCATGCTTTCTTTTTCGGAATTTTATTAAAACCCACTTTAATTCCTACAATAAAAACAAGAAAAAGAAAACCAAATACAGAATAAAAGTTAAAAAAAAAATAAACATTTAAAATGAATGAAATTATAACAAAAAAAGAAGACTAAAATTAATATAAAAATGATTGATGTATTTTAAAATAATAAAATTCCATCAAAAACATTTTTTGGCCATCGCGTGAGAACCATGGTTTCAATAATAAACCATCAAAACATAACAAATATAATAAAAGAAATAAAATTAGTAAGTGGTCTTTCTACATAAATAGAGAGAAAAAAGAAAATAAAGTTAATTTCACGATGGAGTCTTTATTATCTCATTGTTGTTATGATCATGTGTAGGATCAATTCGAACCAATTAATGAGAAATTTATAAAACGAAAATTTCAATAACTTTGTTATTCAAAAAATAAATTTAACTAAATGAAAACTTCTATAAATTAAACCACTTTTCAGAAATATAAAAAAATCAAGTTTATATTTTTATATAATTTTCAAATCGTCATTTTATTTATCATGCAACTTTATTTTAACAGATAATATCTTTATATATATAAAATAATGGTGCCAAACAAGATAGAGTGAAAAGGACCTAGTATTAGTGCATTGGTATTCTCTTATCCCTTCCTTTTGTTTCCTTTACAACTTTTATTAGCTGGAACTTTTTTTTTGTCGGATCCAACTTTTTTTCCTAGTTGGCTAGTGTTTATGTCACGTACCTTCCATCAATTCTTTTTGTAATATATATATACCTTTTAATTATTATATAATTTTAGATGTAGAATCGTGTGCATTGCATTATGCTTAATAATTTAAAATTAATTTATCCCATTTTAAAAGAAAAAACACATTCATTGTCTTCATATCCCAAATCTTATTCATGGAGAACGTAAAGTATTTAGAAAATTACCTCAAAAGATTCTGGGATCAACAATAAAAAAATAAAAACTCCTTTACAGCCCCCAGATCAAATGAATAATTAGCATAAATTTTAATTATTCTTCTTCTTTCTTTCATAAATGTTTTCTTTTTTTTTTTTTCATTTCTACTTCATCATAAAGGCATGTTCTTTTCTTTGACTCTGCCAGTGGCCATTTCGTTTTGACAAGCTTCTCTCGTAATAATGGCATTCAGTCTGCATGCACATTAAGAATAAAACTCTTGTTTGTAAAATGTATCAAATAGAATTTGTCCACGTCTCTTCCTTCTAACTCAAAAAATATATAAAAGTGCAACTTCTGTTTAGATTCTCAGTGCATGCTAAAAATAAATATATTGATACTTAATTTATTAATTTATTGTAGTATATTTTTCATTAGAATTATTGTTCCTTTTAAGCGCAACTTGTAATAAATTGCGGAAAGATCTAAATCATATAATATTATTGAGGAGTACGAAACAGATATTAAAAGAAAATAAAACTCCTCAATATACGTATCTAGCTAACTCATCTTTAGGAAGATGTGCCTAACCAAACCTCATGATAATGTATCTTACAGTCTTCATGATTCACTTTCATGTTTACTATTTCAACACAAGGACAAAACACATTTAAATAAAGAAATGGATACACTAATTATACACCCACAACTATTATTTTTTATTACATTTTTATTATTCATGAATATTATTAAAAATATAATTTATATGGATTTTGCTTCTTAATTACTTTTTCTATTTTAATTTTAAACCTTTGACAAATTTTAGTCAATAATAAAATATGTATCAAGGAAGTTGTCACTCACGTTTATGGATTAATTAACCTATCCAAAAGGATAAAACATGTGAATAAATGTAGTATTTTGACTTTATAAAAAAAAAATCATAGATGTAGTATTTTGAGTGTTGAAAGTAAATATTATTTTTAATATTTAATTACAATTTTAATTATTTTTTTTAAAGTGAAAGTTATTAAGGTGAATTGTATATGGAAATGGTGAAAATGATGTAGTAGTGATGTGAGTATGGTGAATTATGAAGGAGAGAGTGAAGATTTGCATCAAGTGGTACCTGCGGTTACCCTACAATTGGGGTAGAATAGAGTGTGACTTGTTCTTTTCCTTTTTCTATACTTCTCATCTTTACTACCAAAAAGTCCACAACTAGGTCGCAAACCAAACACACGTAATTTATGTCATCTCCATGACTTTTCAAAGGACCATATTACACTCCTTATACTTCTCCATAACAACCACAATGCACATAAACTCCTTTTCTCTCTCTCTCTACCAATTAACTCAACGACAAGTTTCCATCTCTATAAAACCACACAGACCCATTTCACTATCTCATCACAAGCTGCCCCTACCACCACGCTACTTAGCTACCTCCACACTCTCACTCTTGGAAAGAGAGAGAGAATCAGTAACAGCAACCGATGATGGAGTCAGACTCCGAGAACAAGTGTGATCTTGTTCACGAACCAACCTACACGCCGACAAAGCTTCCTCTCTTGATCTCACGGCCAAACATGGCGGCGGACACTCCTCCTCCGCTGTCGCCGCCGCAGAACACGATTTCGGTTCCTTTCAAGTGGGAGGAAGCACCGGGGAAGCCCAGGTATTCCCACACCGACTCGGAGCCCGACAACAGTGTTAAAAAAACACTGGAGCTGCCTCCCAGGTTGTTGTTTTTGTTGGACACCAACGTCGACGGGCCTTCTCCTACAACCGTCTTGGATGGGCCTTACGTGGGCCGAGCCGTGTCCTTCACCACCTCCTATAGGACTCCCAGGGGTTACTGGAATTCCAACTTTGGGTCCTCGAGGTGGGGCGGCTACAAGAAGATTACAACCGACGACGGCGAGGGCAGTTTTGACTTTTCACCTCACTGTTCTTCTACTACAATGTCTAACGTGAAGATCACAAGGGTTCCCAGAAGAAGAACCTTCTGGACTCTCTCCAAGCAAAGGTCACAGTTATGGGTAAGTCATACTCTGAAATCGACAATCGCTTCGTTTTACCCTTGCCGGAAATTATTTACTGTAGTTTTCTTCATTTATTCAGTATACGTTGTTTTATATATTTTCAATCATGGATTATTGTGTCAAATTTCTTTAATATATATAAATATAAATATGAATAGTTGTGTACGTTTAAACAACTTATCACATTTTTTTAGTCGCCTAAAGGATCATGTTATCCAAATCATGCATGCATAAAGCAGAGCCAGCTAAGGTATTAGGTATGCATTATGATTTTTGATGGAGAAAAGTGCTGTTTGACTAAGACTATATAAATATTGATGTTTGCTTTAATCATATTATATAGGTGGCTTAAAATAAGGCCACCGAAATTATAAAAGCTTATTGTCTTTTATTTTCACTGTAAGAAAAAAGTTAGTGATTTCGATTTTTGAGAGTACTTTCCGTCTTTGATTTTCTTAAGATAAGTGTACCTTACCCTACAACTACGCAAGAATGGAAAGATTTGGTTACTTTTTCTGAGTCGAGAGATTAAAACAGTCAAACGATAACAACATTTGGGCTGGACTTTCACTATACCTGGCCGAAGAAAAAGCGTCAGTGTCGTTGCCTGCGCCACTATAAAACACCTCAAATAAGTGTAATTGTTACAGTACACAGATAATAAATTTATGGAAAAATATATTCTGATTCAGATCTTTTTCTGAACATTTGATACAATACATATATTATTTTTCTATTGATTTATTATTTATTTTTTATTATATTGAGATACTCTAAATTTAATAAAAATAATAATATATGTTGGGTCAAAATATTATATAAAAACCTGTATCAATATATTTATTTCTACTTTCAGATATTCCTAGTAGTTGCGGTTGAGAAATTCTTGTTGGCTTTTGGAAAAAACAAAAAACATTTTGAGAACATCCCCATCATAATACTTTTGTAGATCTTGCAAATCATACAAGTCAATGATGAAAGGTGATTTTGAAGGAACAGTATTTTCTCTTGGTTGAAATGTTGAACATTATCCTGAGACTTATGAACATAAATTCTTGCATAATTGGTTCGTCCATGTTGGTTGGTTAGATATTTTATTTTTATTTTTAGCTGCACCGTCTGTGTATTTAATCGTCCTCTGTTGCAATGGGTGGGTTAGGTTGATATCTCATCATATAATTATAATTTTACAACTGCAGGCAAGCATTTATGAAAGCTTTAAGCAAGTGGTCCCATGGAAACGCAAGCAACAAACGCAGAAAAAATGTGCTTCCAAATTCGACACTGTTTGATCTTCTAGATTTTTACTTCTGTCAAATCTAGTTATTTCACAAATTCCTTCTCACAAAAACAAGGCCATTTAGTGTATAAATAAACAAAATATTTTACCCTCGAACTCCTATCTCCCACCGTACGTAGCATATCGTCAAAAAGTTTGTAAATATAATTTTGATGCTAAACTTGTATTTATATATCACAAATAATTACTGAATTATCATGTTATTATACAGCCATTTGTCTTCGAGATTAGAAATGAAAATTAATATTAACTCTGTAAAATTGTATAAATAATATCTATGGCAGTCATCATCGCAAAGCGAAAGTAATTATCACGTTATATTAAAGTAAATTTTACGTCTAATTTATTTGGGTTTTTGATTTTGAAATTGTGAATTATGAGAAAGACTTGTCCTTGGTCACTATATTTCCACCGTATCATAATAATGTTATGTACTAAAGTTAAGCATTGAGTTTGTTTCCTTCGAATAGTTTTTATTAAATGAAAAATAAATTACCATTATAAATAGCATAAATTTGTACCGTATAGTAAATAATGCAACGTACTAATGAATAACTACGATAACAGGGAAATTCAAATACGTGCTATATGAACCTTAAACGATTTAATCGATTAAATTCATTAACATAACTAAGAAAGATATTACGCACCGACAAATAACCATGAGTCTTGATGTAAAAGTTATTCCAATAGCTTCTTTAATGAAAGTTTGGTCCAAAATTGAAGTCACACTTGAACACATGACAAGTATAAAGTACAATGTTAACTGAAGTTAAGGCGTGTCAAACATACATCCAAAGTCTAAATACACTTTTAATAGGCTGATACTTTGTTGATACCCTATATAAAATTTAGATATGCGTTTAGGAATAAAACTTTATTTATAAAGAGTTTATTTAAATAAAATAGAGATCTTCTTAAGTGCTTGCGATCATTATTAATTTTGTTGATTACTTGTTTTTAATTACCTACTGACTTTGAAACCAAGCACCTTGCTTTCAATTATCTTTTGCTCTAGTGTTTCATTCATTATAAAGTAATATGAAGCATCATTAGCTTTATAAATTAATAGTATATATGTGTTGGTTATAAATTTTTATTAGAACGATTTTTATTTAAGCAGATGAAAAATTTAGTTACTTATTTGTTTTTGAAAATGACATTTTGAATTTTTTTTTAATTACCATTTGGTACGGCTTTTCATTTATTTTGATCTTAATATTTGTTTTTGGTGAATAAAGTTTCAAGTGTTAATATTTAATATTAAATGTGTTATATGCAGTTTAAAAAATACTACCTGTCGTGAGTTTTGTTTAAATTAAAATCATGTAATCTTTTTTATAAATGAGTATATTAACATTGTTAGGAGGTGACACTAGTGAAAAAAGAGAGAGTTCCTAAAATGTCTATTATACTTTAGTTTCAACAAAATCAAAGCATAAAAAGAGCGGTGATAATTGCAATTTCGTACGAACATATAGGTTTTTGGTTCTTAAAAAATGAAGTCATATGTTGTTTTTGGCCTCAGTTAAACAAAATTGAAGCCTAAAAGATGCCAAATAACCATACCTTTTCAAACTGAAGCTTATGGCATCAATTATTTACAAAATTCCTATCATAGGATCTTGTGAAACTAACAAGGGCTTTGTACAAGTCTATGGCTTTGGTTCTATGCAGAACCATTGTCATAAGTTCTTGATGTTGCAGGTTGACTTTTCAATTGGAAGTCCTCTAGCCAGCTCTATGACCTTAGTTGTTTTGAAAACCAGTACCATAGACTATTTTTGCTTTGATTTTATTGTGAACCGAGGCATAAAGTTTGAAACAAATTTTAAAATTGTCACTGAAAATATATTTCTTTTCGAGAGGCTTTATGCAACAGTTCTTAGTAAAAGTAAGGCTATAGAACCCTTATTGTTTTGATTAATAAATAACTAAGATAATATGTGTTTCCTTGGGTTAAATTTCGCAAAATAACAAGCATCTTACACATTTCTTATTCGTATTTTCTGTGTTTTTCTCTCCCATTTTCTGTGTTGTTGCTCTTTTCTTCATTCGTGCTTTTTGTGTTTTTGAGTTTTTTTCTTGCTCAACCCTTATATGGAAGAAGCTTTTAAGCGACCAACAAGATAATTTTTCTTTCATTTTAAACAAATGCACATTGATTAATTACTTTAGGTATAATTTCTTTTGTTTTGACTGTTGGTTTGTGCACATGTACTCTTTGGAGTATGAGTGCTTTCTCTTACCCCTCAATCGGCAACAATGATTTATTTCAACGTCGATCCACCTTCAAGGTTAGTTCATTTTGGATTTTTGATAACTTTCTTTTTGTTTTGTTGTTTGTTAACTGTTACATCATATGTATCTAACTTAAGATAAAAGTGAGAGTATATTTAAAAGAACTTCACAATACATGAAATTTTTGAAAAGATGAATATAATGAAATCTTCCTAAAAAATTTAGATCAAAATTCAAGTCTATGTAAAATATTTTTGTAAAATTTAGAAAAATAAATAATTGAGAGAAATAGAAAACGACTTTTTGTTTTTGCATAGTTTAATTCACCTTCACTTAAAATTTTAACACATGTCTATTTATAATAGTTTAGAAAATTGTAGTCTAAAATTAATAGCGTGTTTTAGATGAAATTCGATTATTTTAACATTAAAATTTAAAATATAAATATATTTTTTTATAAGTAAATTTTATTATTTTAATTTACACAGTTGTTTGAACTTCTTTCCTTTCATCTCCTTATCTTTTTTTTTAAATTTCTAATCATTCTTTCCACAGTTTAAAGATAGGAGACCATCAAATAATTTTTAAACGAGTTATCCACAATATCCAATTCTATTATATAAAACTTAATAGTTAAATATTATTCCTTAAATTAATTTAGACAAATATAATGACAATTATATTAATTCTCTAGAACAAATAAAAGGAAAGTCCGTGCATACACATGCTAGTTTACTGCTGAAATTAAGGTCTGCTAGCTTGTAATGGCGTATATTAGGGGTCCTCAACGTAACATAATTCAAATTATTTCTATTTCTACATCGTTCTTTGTTAGGTCGGTCCACACCCAACCATGAATTAAGAAATGAAAGTTAAAATTATATCATTTTTCGATATTTTCTTGACTAAATTATTATTTTTTATAGACAATCAAATAAACAGTTAGATAAATATAGAAAAAAAGCATAATGTAGGAAGCGATATGTCATGATTAAAAATATTATTTAAAACAATTAATACATGTATAGAAATTTAAATGTATAATAAATGAGGAAAAAGCATTTTAAAAACTCGCGTAAATAAAATGTAGGAGACGGGAGAAAGTCTCTAATTTTTTTATTGACAAAACTTTAAATAAGAAATATTAATAATGCATACATAAGTGAGGGTATCATTACTTAATTTTTGAACATCATATTGTGTTGAATGTAAGAAACTTAGCATTGCAGTAATTAATCTGAGTAAATCCTAATTCAAAGTCCACACTAACCATCACATATAAGATTGAAAGCTTGAAATTACAGTTCCACTTGACAGCATAGGCTTAAAAGTTAAATAGCGTGTCTTGCACGTGACTTTCATTAGTAATTAAAAAACGATTCTCTAACTGTTCTTTATTAATTAAAACTTATGAAAAAAAATACAAAAGTCTGAATACTATACTTTCAGAATTATTTAAAATGAAACCCTCATTTTCTAAAAACTAAACTGTTTTGCCCCAATTTAATTATTTTCATGCTAAAACTTGCGAGAATAATGTTTCTAAAACTTAAATAACACCAACATTACAAACGGAAATTTAGACATTGCGTTATATTTATTTATTTATTTATTTGGGATTTAAAAATGGGTTGGACCGCCAGTTTTTGTATTTTTGTTTTGACTCCTGGACTTTTGCCTCAGATGACTCGAAACCCTCGCGCAATTGCCTCACATGACTTTGCTCTCCAAGAAGACGTTTTCCACACGCCGCGGAGAACCCTCGCTCCCTTTTCCTGCGACCAGCTGAGGGCTGCCAACGACGCGATGACCCTTGTGTTTTTTAATCACGTCGTCGATGTTTGACGCTGGGACCAATGTTGGGGTTCATCCATTTATGTGGAGGGCCGAGTTTTGCTGATTTCGGTAGAGATTCAGAGTCAGGGTTTTTCGGAAGTTCAGCTAACGCAGGAAATGGGTCTAACTTCCCTTATATGCGGGCGTTTGGGAACCCCATCAGTGGCGGCTGCGTCTCGTGTTTATGCCATTTCGACGAAAACATAAGAGCATAAGAGCGCAAACGCGTGTTCAGAGAAGAACCATAAAACCAACCCAGAGGCGGAAAGATTGTTTCTTGAGGATGTACTTATACATGTTGCTGTAGAAACCATATAACTTTTCATAAATGAAAAGTCAACCAATAAAAATATATATAGATAAGATAAAATTTGAGTATAGTTTTAAAGTTTTCTGAAACTGTATTGTTTTCTAATTTTTAAATTAAAAATGAATTGTAGAATGAAAACACGTTTTTTAAACAAGGGCAAAGTGGAAAATGAATATAAAATTAAATGTTGGAAGTGCCACCCACACACCGCGTTCCCCCATTCCAGCTTCTTTTTTCCCCACGCGAGCCATCCCCCATTGGAGCAAGAACGTGCCATCCAGTGGCGCTTCTCCTTCAAACTTTCATGATCAGAGTGCAACAGAGAAAACGTTTCTTCGGCTCTCCAATTTGCTGGAACTCTTCTTTAATTTGTTTAATCCGAGAGAGAATCCTTTCATTTCTTCTTATAAAGTTTAGTTTTGATTTGTATTATTGTTGTTGGAAGTGATTAATTGTGGTTGTTATAGTGGACAATTGTAAAACTTATGGCGGGATGAGGTGGTTTCGGTTGCGTGGCGTTGAGAAAAAATTAAAGAAAGAAAAGAATTTTTGTTTATGGCGTTGAAGATGAAGGTATTGTGTTCTATGGAATTTGTGGTTTCTTTTGTAAATTTTTGGTGGAAGAGATAAAGTTTGATGTGGATGATTGTTGTGTAGATGTTTGGAGGTTTACTGAAAAGAAGAATGGTAATGGGATGAGAT